AACACCTTACAATAGAGTCAATACCGACTCATAACAACCCTTCCTATGTGAGTTTCTGTGACTGTAACTCGTTATAGGATAGAAAGCCTCATCTTCCTCTCTCAAACGGGCTGGTGGCTTCGAACCACTGACTTGACCGTTTGCAGCTCGCCACAAAACCACGATGCCTCCGTGGCTCCTTTTTGGGCAAGGTGGGCAGCAGTTCAGATTCCCCCAAGAGGAAGTTTAAGTGCCAGGGTGGGAAAGCCTGTCTGGTGCCCCTGGTCTGATTCAGAGTCTAAATCTGGCTTCACGCTATCCCCTGAGCCCAGGCCCACCCTTGCTGGACAGTCGCTGGTATCGGTCACCCTCTGGGCACTGGAGAGGTAAATGGAGGGGTGGGGGTGGGGGGTGAGCCGCAGCGCTGAAAGCAACAGGACAAACAGGCAGGCGCTGGAAGAGGGTCTGCGACTTTATTTTCTCTCTGGAAGGGCCTTCCTGGAGGAGCAGAGCCGGCCTGCTCAGGCTGTGGAGAGAGGGGAGGGTCACGGCTCCCCCTTCTCCAGGGGACTCCCAGGTTTGGGCTTGGGGACCAGAAGCCCAGGATCCCCAGGGGCTGTGGCCAGGGAGGACAGGTACCGGATGGGAAGGGACGGCTCCTGCTCGAAGGTGGCTGAGAAGAAGGGTTGTGGTCTGAGTCTGAATCTGAGTCCCAGGAGGCGGGTGGCGGGCTCAAGCAGCGGTGCCCCTTGTGGCCTGTGGGGAGGACAGGTGCGAGCGATTCTGGCCCCTCATCCGCAAACCCTGCGTGTGACCCTCCAGGAGGCTCTATACGTGAGCCTTTGATCCTTGTCGGACCTTCCAGGTGATCAGACATGACACCAGGTGATCAGACATGACACCAAACTCTGACCTTAATGACCCTTGCAGTGGAGTCCTCTCACTGCCATCGGGTCATGCAAACGCCTAGCGACCCAATAGGACAGGGTAGAACTGTCCCTGTGGGTTTCTGAGACTGTCACTCATTAGAGACGCAGGAAGCCCCATCTTTCTCCCGCAGAGAGGCTGGTGGTTTCAAACTACTGACCCTGTGATTCGCAGCCCAACGCATAAGCACCACACCCCTAGGGCTCCTGGAACGGGATCCTGATAAGCCTTAAAAATGATCCCCAGGAAACCTGGATGTCACTCCTGGGGGAACCCACCCCACTCCATTCCTCCGCCCCCCAATTCCCACTCACTCTTTACTGTGACCTTGCAACATCACCTCAAAGTGACCACTAGAGAAGACCTTCCAAATATGACCCCAAATAAGACCCGTGAGTGTGACCCCCATGTGCGAAGCTGGAGAGGGAGCCCCCCTCACCCCTGAAGCTGGAAGCCTTATGGCGTCCCCCCGAGGAAATGGTGAAGCCGTCGACGGAGTTCTGTAGCGAGTGCACAGCCGACCTGCGGAGAAAAGAGAGCTGGTCTAGATGCTAGTGGCTCCCTGCTAACTCCCTCAGGAAGTAGGTCCTCTGAGGGTCCTTGGCCAAGCTGGGCATCACCATAGGTCACTCAGCTCCTTGTGGAGGCTGTCCTTCCAAGAGCTGCCACTGCTCAGCATCTCCTCGGGCTCTAGCCAGGCCTCCAACCCCTGTTGCTTCATCTTGGTCAGGACCTGGGGCCAGAAGAGGAGAGGACACCGGTGAGGATGGGGGTGAGAGGTTAACCTGTTACCATGGAGTCAGTTACAATTCTCAGGGACTCTAGAGGCCAGAGTGGAACTGCCCCGCTAGGGCTTCCAGGGCGGCCGACTCGACAGAAGCAGATGGTCAGGTCTTTGCTCCAGCGAGCCGCCAGTGGTTGGTTAGCAACTGAAGCTGACAGGGCACCTGGATAAAAGGTTACAGAGCACTTAATATAAACTAGACTCCTTAACAACGGGCTGCAGTTGAGTAAATCCTGACTCCTGGTGGTCTCGCGTGTGCTACCGTAGAACTGTGCTCTGTGGGGTTGCCCATGGCTGCATTGTCTCAAGTTGCTGCTGGGTGCTATCGAGTTATAGCACCCTAACAGAACGAACTACCACCTGGTCCTTCACCATCCTCACAACTGCTCTGATGCCCGAGCCCCGGGGACAGCCAGTTGTCCATCCATCTTCTCTAGGATCTTCATCTTCTCCGCCTTCCTTCTACTTTACCAAGCATGCTGTCCTTCTCCAGGGACGGGTCTGTCCTGTCCACAGGTCCAGAGTCCAGAAGTCTTTGCCAGCCTTGCCTCTGAGGAGCATGCTGGCTGTACTTCTTCCAGGACAGATCTGTTTGTTCTTTTGGCAGTCCATGGGTCCTTCAATATTCCTGGCCAGCAGCACACTTCAAAGGCCTTGATTGTTCCTTGGTCTTCCATGTAAGGTATCGTCAGGCTGCTGTGGTCGTTTTGTTTTTCCTGAGCTGCCTCTCCATAGAGCTGAACCCCCAGCCCTTAGGTTCGCGGCTGTGTGTTAAGCCTTTGCACCCCCCGACCCCCTGCAGGGACTCCTTCCAAGTGCTTGTTGCTTTTGTTAGTTGCTATGGAGCTGAGTGTGAACAGAAAATACCAGGAAGATGTTTACCGGTGCTTTATTGATTTTTTTCAAAGGCATCTTTGTCTGTGTGGGTTATAACGCATTATGGATACTGTTGTGAAGAACGGGACGTGCAGAACACTTAATTGTGCTCACGTGGAAGCTGTACGCAGAACAAGAGGCAGCTTTTCCAATGGAACAAGGGCCCACTGCACGGCTTGACATCAGGAAAAGTGAGCATCAGGGTGGTGTCCTTTCCCCATACTTCTTCATCTGTACTCCAAGACAATCATCCTGAAAAAGTGGATTATATGAAGAACGTGGCATCAGGATTGGAGGAAAGACTTTTAAGCAGATAATACAACCTTGTTGGATGAAAGTGAAGACCTTCAGTCTGGATTATGTCTCGCAACAAACCCGACTCAGCTACTGGGTGTCCAACAGAACAGAACACCGCCCGGTCCTGCGCCACCTTCACGGACATCCTAAGTTTAAGCCCATTTGTGTAGCCCCGATGCCAATCAATACATCGCTTTGAGGGTCTTTTTCTGGGACCCTCTACTTACCAAGGAGGCTGTCCTTCCCCAGGGACCATTCCCTCCTGAGATGTCCTCTCACCACCCTCCCTTCTAAGGAGCACCCTGGCTGTGCTTCCTCCAGGACAGATTGGTTGCTTCTTCGGACAGGTCTGTCTTCAAGTTCAGTCATCTCCACCCAGCTCACCGTTCCAAGGCACAGTTTTCTGCAGGCTCCTTTCTCAGCCAGCTTTCACACGCCCAGGACGAGGCCCAAGAGCACCTTAGCTTCCGTCAGGCAGGCCTCAGTCTTCAAAGGGACCGCTTTGCTTTTTTAACACGCGAAAGAGGTCAATGGGAGCCGGTGCACCCAATGCAACATGTCATTGCATAGCTGGATTGCGGCTCCCACGGGTGTCGATGGAGAACCAAGTCAAATGAAATCATTCACCCCCTAAATCGTTTCTCTGTTCATCAGGATGTTGCTTCTCGGTCCAGCTGTGAGGATGGCCGCTTCTGGCTAGGCGCCATCGAGCCACCTCTGACTCCCCGGGACCCTGTGCCCAACAGAAGAAACATGACCTATTCCTACAGACACGACTGAGCCTGTTGTCACGGCCACTGTGTCAACCCATGGCCTTGAGGGTCTTCCTCTTTTTTGCTGACCCTCTATTTTCATTTGAACTGTGGTGCTGGAGAAGCAGATTGAGAGTATCGCGGACTGCTCAAAGGACAGACTTATCTGCCTTGTAAGAAGTACAACCAGAGGGCTCCTTAGAGGCGAGGACCGCAAGACTCTGACTTATATACTCGGGGCGCGTTGTCAGGAGAGACCGGTCCCTGGAGAAGGACGTCATGTTTGGTAAAGTGGAGGGGCGGCCAAAAAGAGGAAGGCCCTTGATGAGATGGATGGACACAGTGGCTGCGACCATGGGCTCAAGCATGGGGACAATTGTGAGGATGATGCAGGCTCAGGCAGTGTTCTGTTCTGTTGACCACAGGGGCGCTGTGCGTCAGAACCATCGCGTGGCACTGCATGACAGCAATTACTTTGCCAAAGATGATGTTCCTTTCCATCCATGTTATCAGGAAAGACCAGTCCAAAGTAAGTGAGATGGAGGCTCACCATTCTCAGCTCTAAGGAGCATTTTGGCTGTACTTCCTTCAAAGCAAATGTTTGTTCTTTGGGCAATTTATGATCCTTTCAATATTCTTTGTTTTCCTTTAATCATTTTATTGGGGGCTCATACAACTCTTATCACTTCCATACACCCATCCATTGTGTCAAGCACATTTGTACCTTTGTTGCCATCATCGTTCTCTTTCATTATTCTTTATGACACCACCTTTCAAAGGCATCGGTTCTTCGGTGGTCTTCCTTATTCATTGTCCAGCTTGTACATGACTAAGAGGTGACTGAAAATGCTATGGCTCTTGGTACAAGTGTCCGTTAGTCCTCCAAGTGACCTTTTGTTCTCGATTTTTGGTGGGTGACACAGAATGATCCAGTACAAGGCATCATCTGATCTCTTGACTGCTGCTTCCATGAGTGTTGATTGTGGATCCAAGTCAAATGAAATTCCAAATACCATCAATTGTTCCACCATTTATGGAAGATGTTGTTTGTCTTTACATTG